ATATAAGCAGTATTACCCGAGTAATTACTTTGGTTGCTTAGAGAACAAGAGCAAGTTGAAAGTAGAATAGGAAGACGAAAGAGAGATAAAGAGAGTTAGAGAGGAATGAGAGAGATATTTATATACAATTAATACAAATTTCTTTGAATTGTATAAATTTATTTCTATTAGAAAGCTCATTTTTTTATAGCTAAAACTATTATTAGGGTTCGTCCTAATGAATTAATTTTATTAATTTATAATTCAACTACAGATAATTTGTATGTAATGAATGAAGTTTCTTAAGCTAGTCTTATCCATTTTCAATAACAAATTTTATTTAAATTTTATTTTTATCCGAACAGTATATTAATGTTAAAAAAAATTTTTAATAATATCTTTTTTCAATATTAAATAATATTTCATTACGTTACATATAAAGTAAGCTTTATCCCAGATTCAAATATTTAAACATTGATTAAATTGCAACAGATATGTATCAATACTTTACATTATTATTGTTATTGTTCTTACTATTATTATTATTATTATTATTATTATTATTATTATTACGCTAACTAAAAAAAATATAAAATTTTTATAAGCTTTTTAAATCATTGTAGATCTGGTGAGCTTCGTCATTTAAATATGAATTTTAATAAAGTTTGTTGATTATTGACTAGTAATGTTCATAATATTTTACAATGTGAAAATCACTAGATATTTAAGAACTCCTGTGGAGAAGAATTTACGTGAAAAATACACTAAAACGATTTGGATTTTTTTTTTTTTTTTTTCATTCTACTTCCTTTATCAGACTAATGAAAAAATCATTCGATTTATTGATTATTAAGAACATTTGACCAGTTGACGTAAATTTGCCACTTGTTAAACATGATTCACAATATTTTTCGATTCTCATCTTGTACTTAATAAATATAATTAAATATAAAAAATACGTTTATGTATATTATGAATAATCGTGTTAATTTTTTACAATAATAATTACAAAAACATCTTTCACAGACTCATTGCTTTTTTTTATATTTATTTAAGATTTGATTTATCTTCAATATGCTAAAGAACGTATATTTATTCAATTTATTTATTCTACTATTACCTTATCCAATACATTAACATATAGTTTATTTATCGAAAACATTACTTGAAACTATATTTGAAATTGAAAAAATAATGTTTTTTACATTGAAATTTAATATTATCTTCATTTGGTACATCATTATTTCGAACCAAATGTTTAACTAATTTAAGTGTTTTAAGCAAGGATAAGTTTTTCAAAAACTGAATTGTTCGAAAATTCGATGAAAATGCGACGTCGCGTTGCGTTGTTGTTGACATTTTAATTTTTAGGAATTGATTAGATCTTTTCCATTACGAAATTTTTATTATTCTGCTTGGAAAACCAGGAGAGCATAAAATGCCATTCAGTTAGAATTACATGTGACTTTCGTTCTTCAACTGTCGAATCCCTATTCTCGAGACTGCACTATGAAAGTAGTATTTTATGAGAAATGAATGATGCTTTCAAAAAATGACAAAAGGTATTGAATTATTTGTCAGTCATTCGACGTAACACTTAAGAGATCCATTTCACCAGACATTATCTACTTAAAAGCCGAAAACGTACTTTTTCAATTACCAATGAATCAATGAGAGTACTTTTGGCTAATCGCATAATAATTACTCTCGACTCGTATCGTACCGTTTGAGTGAATATTTCTTTAGCAGCGGAGCTTTGATAAACGGCATCCATTATACATTGGCGCAAAATTACAGAATCGCTCGCGCTCGCGCTCGCTACGCGCCTCATTTATCGACCGGCAACGTCGACTCGTCATTTTCACTTTTCCAAGAATACCGCGCGGACTCGGCGAATCGCTGGCTGACAGTGGCGGCAATCACCGTTTCGTGAGTTCCGATTGTTCCTCGAATGGCTTCAATTTACTGCTCTTTTATAGTTACTTGAATTGCAAATTTTACTTGCTCCGACTATGATTTTGACGTGGAGGTAAAAGATCCTGTAACTAATTGATACGTTTCAAGCGGCACAGATGCCGGCATGCGAGTCCCGGCGATAGGCAAAGTTTTGTACGCGATTTGTGGAGTTCCAGGGTAGAATGTACGATTCGTGTATACGCCACGAGGAATGCCGGAGCT